AGAGAGAGAGAGCAAAATAACATAAATTGGAAGAAAAATGGATAGTGTAAAGCAGTATCCCTCAAATTGGCATCAATTTGGTGTGTTGGACTATAATTCTCATCATCCCCCATCCAACTGCATGGAGTTGATAGGAGCTGTAGTCTACAACATCTGAGGAGTACACAGTAGGTGGGAGGTGGACATAAATCAGACATTTTCTATCATTGCTCCCCCAACCCCGGAATAAAGCGCGAGACAATAGTATGGGTTTAAATATGGGCCACACTTTATTATGGTATAAGAGGATGCTTTCTTAAAGTTTCTCAACCCCCTCTGGCAATATATTTGCTGAATGGTTATAGAGTGCCTAATCTTTAATTCCAGCTATAAGCTATTGGCATGTATGTATTGGGATGTACTAAACTGTGCCCCCAATTTTTTTAAGGAAGCAGATCCGCCCCCTTTTAAAAGTGTGAGAATTTTTTTACAAATAAATTGCCTAAATATTTACTTGTAATATAGAGCTTTTTCTGTGTTGCTATTCCTCGTTGCTGTTTAGTGCGTATTGGCTGGAAAACAATTTTTTAAATGCTTAGCAGATCAAGCTTAGAGTAAACTGAGGGAATGAAATACTGTAGTTGATTCTCTGTGGGAGGATAATGCTTAGCCTTTGTATAGTTCACATATTAATCATCTTTACAACACCACTATAGGGTAAGAACAGATTGTCACTATTATCCCTTTGTTGCAGACATGGGCGCTGAGACAGATAGATAATAACCCGCTTAAGATGGGGGTAGGGAGAGGGTGACCCCCTTCTGTATTTCCAGAAGAGAGAAAGGCATTGTTCAAGGAGAATTCAGGCAGCAGAGCAGTTTTAACCACTGGATCTACCGGTTAGGGTGGAGCAGGTGCTTGGAGGCATCGCGTTCACCTGAATATCTTTCTAGTTACCATATTTTTCGCACCATAAGACGCACTTTCCCCCCACAAAACAGGTGGGTGGAAAGTCTGTGCGTCTTATGGAGCGAAGAAAATAGATTATATTTTCCTGTTTTCTTCTCCTAAAAAAATTGGTGCATCTTATGGAAAGGTGCATCTTATGGAGAGAAAAATACGGGGTATATGCAGGAAAAATTCCATCTGTGTAAATCCTCCACTGTAGGTTTTCTTTCCAATGATGCAGGTTCTGAAATGGGGTGTATCATAGGCAGGGGTGGGATGGGGCAGAGTTGGCTTCAGCTCTGATAGATTGGGGCAGGCAAGCTCTGGGGCTCAGGAGCCAAATTCTGGCTACCAGAAGCCAGCCTAAGCCACACTGGGCTACCAATCCATCCATCCATCCATCCATCCATCCATCCATCCATCCATCCATCCATCCATCCATCCATCCATCCATCCATCCATCCATCCATCCATCCATCCATCCATCCATCCATCCATCATAAGTGGTCAGAATTCCTCTTGGGTTTTTGTGTGTGTGTGTGTGTTGTTGTTGTTTTGCTGAGTTGTGGTGGTGGGGATGCCGTTTTAAAGCCTTAAAAAGGGTGAAGAGACACCACGACTCATTAAAAAACCCAAATCTCCTCTCCCGGAGGTTTCCAGATGTGACATTTCCCCTCCCCCACCCAGAGGGTCTGGGAGAGGCCCCGAAGGACGCGCACGGGAGATCCGGACCCCCCCCCCGCCACTCCCTCCAGAGGCCTCGGGGTCGGTGCCACCGCAGGTTTCTTAGCTGCAAATTGAATACTAGTCATCGGTACAGTCAGTCCGTCAGCCCAGGAGACTTTCTGGGGTGAAAAAAGCGACATCACCCTGCCAGAGCGGCAGGACTGCAGTATCTGTCTTTACTCCCCTGTGTATACATAAAAGCAAAAAAAAAAATTTATTTGAAAGGAAGAGAAGAAAAAGCTAGCGCCTGAATAGAGAGGAATCATAGGTTCTCATTATTCTCCCTTTATTCATCCCCCACCTCACCCTGCTCAGCCTCCTTAGAAATGTTGATTGTCGTGGAAATTATAGAGGAGTGATAGAATTACTACCAAATGGGAGCGGATTGAGCCGGCCTCGCTTTGTTAGACAGCTAATGAGTGGGATACAGTCGGCCACAGCTAAGTGGAGCAGAGAGAGAGAGAGAGAGAGAGAGATGAAATGGCTTCCTGGGGACAAACGGTCTGTTTCCGTTTGCTTCTCCCAAAGGAGGGTTTAGAAGAGGAAAGCTAATTCAATTAAGGACATGTCCAGCTTCACTGTCCAGACAAGCCCCATTTTTTAATCAGGCAAAAGAGATGGAGGAAGTCACAGTAATTTTTGGTTCACATCAGGCCCCATGTGTGCCTCCAGTTTCATAAGGGAAGGGATGAAACGTTTGCATTTTGAATGATCTTCTTGTTTTCCTGTAAATGTCCGTGAAATGTGGGCATGTATAATTGCTGCTTGGTAGTCCAGGGGCTGCTGTCTTTGACGTTGAGGGAGCCCAGCCAAGGTCAAGGCCTGCCAGCCCAATGAAAGGGCACCGGTCCCCGAGAGTGAGCGCATCTGATGGAGTTAATGAGGCATCAGTGAGTGAGGGCATCGAAGGGCCCTCAGGAGCCCCCCCACCCCGTGAGTTGTCCCCTTGTGCAGTTCGCCTCCTGATCCCAGACTCAAGGGATTGTAGAGAGACCAGAGCAAGTTTGGCCAAAGGGTCGCAGCTGTGGTGGCTTTCTCCTGATCGCCCTAATAAGACATCACCGCCCCAGAGTCACGGCGTGGCAGATAGTGAGGGCCACTTCGCTGCCAGCCATCCGCAGTAACCAATTTAGCAAGTTAGGAACGGATTAGGAGGAAATGAATAAACTGTGTGTGCCAGGCGGAGCGCTGAGCGGGGAAAGAGGACAGGGAGAGATTGGCCTCATTGGGGAAATGATTGAAGCTTGCATTTTCTGAATCCTCTTCAATTAGCAATCCTCCTCTGTTCCGTTAAGGACCATCTGCCTGGTGTCATTTCCTTGTGCCGCCACAGATGCGTTTCATGGACAGCAGCTTCCTAATAGATTTGTACCATCATGCTGAGGGAGGAGAGAGAGACCGTCACTGCCTGAGACAGTGTCATGAAAAAGCCTCTCTACTCATAAGAAGCAAATTGTGATTGAAGGACAAGAGGGGTCCGTTTCAGAAGGGAGAATGGGGCGGGTGTGTTTGTGTGTGTGCATTTTTGCAGGCTCGCTGTTATTAATTGCTTTCTTGAAGATCTGCTACATCTTTAACAACAGAACTACATCACTCAAATTCAGGGGTCCTATAAACAGATAGCAACCTACTAGTTTATGAGTCTGTAGGCAGATCGCAAAGTGCTCTTTTCAGTACAAAGGACATTAGTTTACTTATCACTAGTTGCTAGGGCTGTACACAGTTCCCTTGGTCCAATCTGCAGACCAGTTTTGGGGATGGGGCTGTATCTTGATTCCGCCTGGAGAGATTCTTGTCACATCCAATTTGTCTGAGTTTATTTTAAGCTTCCCATTGACTTGTACTGTACGGGAAACCCAAAAATGGCCTCCCCACCATCACTGGTGCCTGTTTCTCAGAAGAGGAAAGAGAAAGGCAAAGGGATTTAAGAGTCCCATCCAACGTTCCCTCCAATTTTCTACCAGCTCTGGATGGGGACCCCGTGCGTGCAGGGGGTGTGTGTTCCTGCCGCAACAGGATGCAATGGGCAGCAACTCTGTTTTCATCTGGAAATAAAATAACACATACGAAAGGAAAAGGTACCTATAAGTAGAGGCTAGTGGTTCAGGAGGCTCATGTCCAGAATACTACTTATTGTAGGGCTGTACAACAGATCTGGACCAAACCAAATTGTTCTGATTCAGACCAATCTGTATGAAGTCCAGATGAAAACAGAATGGTTCTGGAGGTTTCCAGGTGAAGTGAATTTATGAAAGAATTTGTGTCTGACGCATAAATAGAATTGGTGGGACCAACGTTACCCTTAAGTTGCACGGGAGCACAGTGCAATATATATATATATTGGGACCTTTTATTATTCTGTCTACTAGTGTTTAATAACTGACTGACAAGCAGACATTCACTGATGACTCTTTTGCTTGCAAGAATGTCAAAGGCATAAAAGCCCTTGCCAGTAGGTAAGTTGTCAATCACTGGCACAACAGTAATAGTACTTTTAGGCTAGTCATCTTAGAACTGCAGAGCTGGAAGGGACACTACAGATCACTGAGTCCAGCCTCCTGTCAAGGAGGCACAATGGGGGAATTGAACTCTGCAGCCAGAAGCTTAAATCAATGGCCAGAATCCCTTTGGTGTTTAAGGTTTGTATAACTTACTGTGGCTGATTGACAAAGTCTTGGGCTGTGTCACCATTACATGCCTGGTGACGTGCCTCATTGTGCAACTGAGATGCATCCCGGCACGTCATCAATTACCTACATTTAGCGATGGCAAGTTATGTAAGCCTTTAAAAAAATAATAAGATTCTGGGTGTTAATAGTAAATATTAGTATTGATCAAACTGGTGTCATCCAGGTAGGCTGGGCTATAACTCATTATCTCCCAACTAGTATGGTCATGATGGACCTGTCCCAGATCCCTAAAGAAGTTTAGAACAAGGAGATGATGAAAACAGACAGTTATTATTACTTTATCCCAGATAAAGTCTCTGTACAGGGTGAAAGTCTTCGTAAAAGTTAAAAACACAACCCCAGACTCGATGCAACAATCACGTTCAGTTTGAACTGGAAGCCTCTGCACAGAAATGTTTTTTAGAGACAATAAAAATGCCACTTTTGTTCTGGATAAAGACTATTCCTTGTAATGTTTCCCATTGTTTTTTTCCAGATGAGTCAATAGATGTTATTAGGATTTAATTATTTATCTGATTATTGATAATAGATTGGATGTGGAAGTTCAGTTTTAGATACCATGGCAAATAGCTATTGGTACATAAATGGATCTCATCTTTTTAAAAAAGCAATCTGTCTGCCTTGATGGCCATTATAATATTTCGTCTCTCTTATTAGAGGCCAGATGTGTTTCTTACTGCATCCACAACCAATGGTTTGCCCCTTTTGGATCCAGAGTTGGTGGGACAACTTGGGACAATCAAAGAACCATGGACGAGGCCACCTTCCAAAATGGAACAGAAGATCAGTGTGGTTGAACCCCATCCAGAAGTGAGTATCTCAGTTTTCTTGACTTACGTCAAGATTCTTGACTTGCGTCCTGCCTGCTCCCAATGAGCAGTGCAATAGTCCACTTCCAGATCTGCCAGGCAATGCTAGATGGTTGTGATTCTGTTGGCTGAGGTAACTCTGGAAACATATGGTGTCCCTGTGGAAAAATCTGATTACAGTGGTGCCTCGCATTACGACGTTAATTTGTTCCAGCGAAATCGCTGTAGAATGAAAACGTCGTAATGCGAAATAAAAAAGCCCATAGAAACGCATTAAAACCCGATTAATGCGTTCCTATGAGCTTGAAACTCACCATCCAGTGAAGATCCTCCATAGCGTGGCCATTTTTGCTACCCGTGCAGCGAGGAATCCATCGCAGAAAAGAGCAGGAAGCCATTTTTTTTACCCGGCAGCCATTTTGAAACCGCCGATCAGCTGGCCGAAAATTGTAGTTTTGCAAGAATCGGTTCCCTGCTTCATCACAAAGCGAAATTCCCCCATTGAAGCCATCGTAAAGCGATCGCTTTTGTGATCACAAAAAGTTTGTCGTAATGCAATTTCGTCGTTAAACGGGGCGCTCATCTTGCGAGGCACCACTGTAATACAAATATATAGATGGAGTACACTGGAACCATGCAGACACTTAAAGCAGGCAACACAAATGCTAATCCTGCATCAGATTTTCTCCAGGAAGTTTCTCAGGTGTGCCCTGGGCATGGAGTAATTTAAGATCTGGACTTGTTTCTAAAAAACCCAGATCTTAGGCATGAGCAGGGCACTGGTGTGAGGAATCAGGCATTGGTCAGCTTTCTTGGGCATATGTCATGACCCATGACCTGCAAGGCAAGACAGTGCCCATTCCTATAGCACTCCAATCTTCCTCCTTAGTGGTGTTGTACAGTATGTGCCATCAAGCTGCCTCTGGCTTATGGCGAGCCTATGAGTGAGTGATGTCCATAATTCCTAGCATTAATAGCCCTGCTCAGCTAATGCAAACTCAAGGCTGTGGCTTCCTTTTTAGAGCAAATCCCTCTCATATTTGGTCCTTCTCTTTTCTTGCTGCCTTCAGCTTTTCCCAGACTTATTGTCCTCCTTGGTATTAGTGCCTAGTCATCAAGCATATAGGCAATGAAATGGCAATTCAGAGCCCTCTATATTGCTCTTTTTCTGAGTGATTGAGGAGAAGGACCCCATCCATCCATCCATCCATCCATCCATCCATCCATCCATCCATCCATCCATCCATCCATCCATCCATCCATCCATCCATCCATCCATCCATCCCCTTTTTGTTTCTTTCCTTCCTTTTCCTTTCCTTTTCTTTTCCTTCCTTTGTATCATAGAATCATAGAAAAGTGAAGTTGGAAGGGGCCTACAAGGCCATCAAGTCCAACCCCCTGCTCAAGGCAGGAATATAATCAAAGCAGATCTGCCAGGTTATTATCCAAGTTTTTCTTGAATGCCTCCAGTGTTGGAGAACTCACCTACTACTGAGGTAACTGGTTCCAATGTCATTAGGATGTTTTTCCTGATATTCAGACCAAATATGGCTTCTTTAACTTGAGCCCATTGTTTATTTTGATTGATTGATTGATTGATTGATTGAATGATTGATTGATTGATTGATTGGATTTTTATCCCACCCATCTAGACCAAAGGTCTACTCTGGGCAGTTGCGTGTCCTACATTCTGGGATGATTGAGAACAGATTCTGCTCCTCCTCTGTATGACAGCCTTTCAAGTATTTGAAAAGTGCTATCGTATCTCCCCCCAGTCTTCTTTTCTCAAGGCTAAACATGCCCAGTTCTTTCAGCCTTTCCTCATAGGGCTTGGTTTCCAGCCCCCTAATCATCCTTGTTGCCCTCCTCTAACTTTGTTAGTATCTTTCTTGAAGTGTGGTATCCAGAATTGAGCACAATACTCAAGGTGATGCCTAAGCAGTGCTGAATGGAGGGAGACTAGCACCTCACAGGATTTTGAAACTATACTTCTATTAATGCAGTCTAAAATAGCATTTGCCCTTTTTTGTAGCCACATCACACTGTTGGCTCATATTTAGCTTGTGATCTACAACAATTCCAAGATCCTTCTCACTTGTAGTATTGCTGAGCCATGTAACTGTGCAATTGTTTTCTTTTTCCAAGGTGCAGGATTTTGCACTTATCCCTGTTGAATTTCATTCTGTTGTTTTCGGCCCAGTGCTCCATCTTATCAAGGTCATTTTGAATTTTGTTTCTGTCTTCTAGGGTATTAGCTATTCCACCCAATTTGGTATCATCTGCAAATTTTGACAAGCATTCCCTGCACTCCCTCATCCAAGTTATTAATAAAAATATTGAAGAGCACCAGGCCCAATACTAAGCCTCAGGGTACCCCACTTTTTACCTCCTCCCAGTTAGAGAAGGACCCATTAATCTTCAACCTCTGAGTATGATTCTGCACCCAATTGTGTATCCACCTGAGACTTGATCTATCCAGCCACACCTAGTGCTAATCAGGATCTCATGGGGCACTTTGTCAAAAGCTTTGCTGAAGTCAAGATATACTGCGTCTACAGCATTCCCTCTTTCTATCAGGGAGGTTACCTGAACCAAAAAATGAGTTTGTCAGGATTTGTTCTTGACAAATCCATGTTGGCTTCTAGTTATTACTGCATTGTTTTCTAGGTGCTTGCACAATGGCCACTTTATGATCTGTTCCAGAATTTTGCTTGGTGTCCAAGACCTGCTTGGAAAATGTGTGGGTGCTGTAAAATAATCACTCATGGACACAAGAAAAACTTTTGCATATGTTCTTTGTTAGTTCTTTCCAGCATGGCCAGGGAAAAAGACTTTCTCTCTGTGTCTCAGTCTCTCATCGTCTCTGTGTCTCAGCAGCTCTTTTAGGCAGGAAAAATCTGTGTCTGCCTCTTAGCTTCTCTTTGCAGCGTCCTCTTTGTTCTCCCCTGCATTCCGTCCCCTCCTGGCCACACACTGTCCGAGAGAGATTTATTGCCTCCATAAAACGCCTCTCCAGCAGATTACAGCCTGTTACATAGTTTTCTAGGCCTACATCTGCCCGCCTACAATCTGCATCACACAATACAAGAGGAAATGAGAAAACACTTCTTCCTGTAGCCTTAAAGACAGGTCCACATGGCACATAGATATATGGAAAGTACATAGACTAATGGAAAATTACTAGACTAATTAATAATATGCTCTCTGTTCTGCCTACAGCAGAATCATTTCCCTACAGCTTGGGATTGATGTCAGGCTGACTGGCCTGTAGTTCCCAGGTTCCTCTTTTTTGCCCTTTTTGAAGATAGGAACAATAGTAGCCCGCCTCCAATCCACTGGCACCTCCCCCTGTTCCCCATGATTTCAAGAAAATAATGGGTAGGGGTTCTGAGAGTTCTTCAGCTAGTTCCTTCAGTACTCTTGAATGCAGTTCATTTGCCCGCCAAATGGAGCCAGCCCTGGAGATTTGAACTCTTTCAAGGTGATAAGGTATTGCTTTACTATTTGTTTATCAATCTCTAGCTGCAATCTCTAGCTCCTGCTAGATCCCCGACTCTCACCCTGCCTAGGAGAGATGAGGATGTCCAAGGCTCCCGTATTGATACTGGGGCTGGTCTTCCAGTAACATCTTGTGCGGCTTATTCACCATCTGTCGATTTAGCCCCTGTAAATTCAGGCTCAGCATTGTCTGACATTGAGGATGACTCTCCTCCTAATCTTCCTACACCAGAATTGGATGTGGTGGACAATCATCCTCCCTCTCCATCAGAAGATTATACTTCCTACTCCCAACTCATCCTCTGTATTGCGAAGGTGTTGGATTTAGCAGTGGAACAACCAACCCCAAAAAGACTTGGTAAAGTGTATGAGGACATCAACCAAGATCAGAGTCCTCCTCCTCAACTTAGCTTCATCCCCCCCCATCTCAGATTTGATGAGACAGTCTTGGTCTAAGCCCTCCTCCTCTCACCAGATTCCGAGGAGGGTAGAAAATCTCTACAAGATGTATGGTGAAAACACGGACTTTCTTCTGAAACACTCTCTTCCAAATTCATTTGTTGATGATGCAACACAGAATAGGGCACAGAACCGGTCAGCTTCCACCCCCAATAATAGGGAAGGTAGGAAGCTAGATGTAATTGGCCGACATATGTACTCCCTTTGCCTCATTCGTTCTGAGAGTGGCTAATTATTCGGCTGCCGTGGGGGTCTACCATCGCCATCTGTGGAACCTGACATTGCCCATCTTGCAGGCTGCTACAGAGAATGTTCAAGCCCAGGGCCTCTCCTTCCATCAAGAGGCAATGGGGTTGGCCCACCAGGAGTGAATTGCAGCCAGACATATTCTAGAAGTTGCATCTAAGCAGTTGGTCACTGCTGTGACTCTGCATCGCCACAGCTGGCTCCATTTGGCGGGCATGTCAGAGGATGCTAGGTCAAGAATCGAGGACCTTCTGTTTGATGGTCTAAGTCTCTTTGATGACAAGACTGATGGCGTCCTAGATAATCTTGTGAAACTCAAGAAGACAGCTAAATCTTACTCCACTCAGCAGTATCGCCCCAGGAGTTCATGGCGCAGGCCGTATCCTTCACAATCTTTTCCTGACCGTCAAAGACCTTTGAACTCTGGTCCTTCATCTGCCCCTTTTAGGCACCCTAACAGGCAGCATCCTCGCCAGCAGGCTTTCCGCTTGGATTGGAAGACTGTAATGAGTTCAGCTGAAGAAGATCTGGAATCTAAGGGGTTAACTACAGCTGAGGAACATGGTGGGCAATTAGAAGCACAGGCAGCTGAATCACCACCAGATTCCCCCCCCAGTTGCCAGAGTGAGGGCTAAACTTCAGCAAAGACTCATGACACAAAGGTCAGAGAACGAGCAATAAAATGGGCAGCATGGATAGTGACACGGAGGAGATTAGTAAGCCTAATTAGAGTGGGAGACGTCTTGCCTAAGTTTCATCTTCCCCAAAAATCCATGAAGCCAGTATTATCAGCAGGTA